CCCATTTATTCCACTTGTCCTTAAGAATCCCCATAAAATTGGGAAATGGCAATGAGACAACAGAATCTTATGTAATAAGATATCACGCAGGCAAAAAGATGTTTCATGATTACGTGGACTTTCTATTTGATTTTCAAGAAATTACAATATTTTCCCAAAAGTGGTTTAGCCATCATTGGATTTGAAAACTCAACACTATTAGTGAAATTCTGAGTGATCAACATAGATGCCAAACATTATCTGGATACCTGAACATCTAGCTTAATTATTTGAAGAAATATGCAATACATGTAACACTGAATATATATTTGACCCCATGAAGAAAAATGGTGATTTATTTTCAAACTTCAAAAGAAAAACAAAACATATTTTATTTTACAACAGTGGAAACTTCTTCAATGACATTTGCCCTTTATAGCATCTCATGCTGTAGATGAGAACACAAGTGACAAGAGGAGACACAAGAACAATAATAGACGTCACATAATGCATTATCTTAAAATAATTAGCCCATGGTTTGTAACAAAAAAATAACAATTAGATGAGTGAAAGAGATTGAAAAACCTATGTGAATGTGTCTCTGAAGTCTCAAATGATCTTAATCGGAAGCATGGGGAGAAGCAGGATTTTTTGTCATACCTATGCACCCATCACTAGTTTCGATGTTCAGTAATAACAATGTTCAGTGTTCACTGTCTCAATGTTCAATGTTCAGTGTTCAACTGGCAGTATTTGGGGGATCAGAGGAAACCTGGGTTTAGCAACAGTAAAGTCAGAGGGGAAGTTTCCTCCCTCTTAAGAAATCTCCTAATAGCTATATTTGGAGTGATAATACATAATTTATATTGATCTTTCTGTTTGACTGCCAAACTTACTGAGCTATACTCTGAAAATAGGTCTAATTTGTTTTATATGAATTATAATCTAGTGAATTTTATAAGCTATTTTAAACCAAACAACAACACAAACGTCTTTCCATGACTGTGGGATTTCCATTTCCACCAACACTTCAGATAACAGCTAAAATGTATGCAAATTATTTAAAAATTATTTAGAAGAACAAAGGATCCCAGAATGAAATAGATAGTATTACAAAATTACCTAGCCGTATTACAAAATATATATATATATATATATATATATATATATATATATATATATATATATATATATATATTTTTTTTTTTTTAGACGGAGTTTCACTCATGTTACCCAAGCTGGAGTGCAATGGCGTGACCTCGGCTCACCGCAACCTCCGCCTCCTGGGTTCAGGCAATTCTCCTGCCTCAGCCTCCTGAGTAGCTGGGATTACAGGCACGCACCACTATGCCCAGCTAATTTTTTTTTTGTATTTTTAGTAGAGACGGGGTTTCACCATGTTGACCAGAATGGTCTCGATCTCTTGACCTCGTGATCCACCCGCCTCGGCCTCCCAAAGTGCTGGGATTACAGGCTTGAGCCACCGCTCCCAGCCACAAATATATTTTTAAAAACGTCACTGAAAGGGATAAAAAATGTTGCTGATCTAAATAAATTTGGAAACGAATGGAGTCTGTAAGATTAATAACAAAAGAAACTATGCATTAACCAATTAACCAACTCCATCTAAGCCAATTTGCAGGCCCACAGAATTTTGAATGAATGGGAAGCAGATCCCTTGAGGAAGATCCCTACCTCATTGCCAAAAAGATTATACTGTAAATCACCCTTTCAGTCATCTTCAAAATAATATTCAACAATTTACTAGTATGACAGTGTTTTGGGCAAGGGGAAAGCACCAGAAGTTTTAGGGATTACCAGACATTGGCCCTGAACTGAGACTAAATTTTTAAAGACTCCATACCCCATTGTGGTCAGGTAAAATAATAAATGGAGTTTGGGCTGTGATCTATTCGATAATGGGCACAGTGAATCACCAATCCCCCAATGAAAATAGATATGTTTACAACTGGCAGAATCTGCACATTGGGTCTCTGGAGTAAGGTCTATTAAGGTAGGAAAAAATAAACAGAAATAACTACAGCTGCCTTTTCCTACCAAAATAGTAAATCAAAAACAATCATTTATTTCTAGAAAGATTACAAAGATTAATGCTATCTACAGTAAATTCCTAGGACTAATATAGCAACATATTATATATTTGGTGGCTTAAAACAATAGAAACATATCTTTTCACATTTCTGAAGGCTAGAAATTAAAAATCAAGGTGTCAATGGGTCCTACGCTCTCTGAAGAGTCTGGAGAAGAATGCTTCCTTGCCTCTTCCTACCACCTGATGGTTGCTGGCAATCATTGTTTTTTCTTGGCATATAGGCATATCACTTTAACATCTGCTTTCGTGGTCACATGCCATTCTCTCTGCATGTATCTTCAACTCTGTGTTTTGTCACGAAGCCCTCTTATAAGGAAATCAGTGATTGGATTTGGGATCTACCATAATTCAGTATGATCTCAACTTGATTACATCTGCAAAGATCCTATTTCCAAATAAGGTAACATTCATGGGTACCAGAGGTTATGACTTCAACATATGCTTTTTGAAAACACAATTCAAACCACAACACTACCATTAAAGCCTTGAAAATTTCAAGAGAGATTATTGTACCCCATCTTTATTCAATTGGCTTATTTGTCCCCTACAAAATGTAAATGGTTTAGATGAATAAGAGGGAATTATCACAGACTTAATCTAGTAATGACTCCAGATACAGCTGTTAATTCAGATGCTGTTTCTCTGCTGCAGCAAAGAAGAACATCCCCTTGAAACTAATATTCACTTTTTATCTGGAAAGTCTTTTTATTCTACAAATAAAGAACACCAGAATCGGTCTCCATTCAGCTAGCAAGACCAATCAGATTCCTTCACTGCCCTATCTCAAAAGCACACTAACTCTTCAGTCTCCAGGCATAAACTACTCTGCAGAAACCTTGACTGCCTCTCTGTTCCAGAGGATACCAGGTTAATAGAATACACTGATGACATTAAAGGTGATCAGACCCAGAGAGCAGGAATTAACAACTACCATGGACATCCTGAAATGACCAATGAGTGACGAAAGACAAAAAATAAATTATATAAAAATTCAGGGATCTGCCACTCAGTGAAAGTTTTATGGGTGTGGTGATCTGAATGAAGGAAAACTGGCTCCCTTTGGCCCCTGTTACCACTCAGCAAGAGGCACAATACGTAGTGGCTTTGTTGGGTTTTCACGGCAACATAATCTTCATTTGTATATGCTACCGTTACCATTTAGAAGGAATAAAATGGCTTTTAGTCCTGAGTTCCCTAAGAGCAAGAGAAGGCTCTGAAATGGTCATAGTCAGCTGTGAGTATTGCTCTATCGTTCCGACTGTATAAAACAGCAGATTTAATGGTGCTTAAAGCATCTACTGCAGATAAGGATGCTGTCTGGAGGCTTTCACACAGGCCTGTATAGGTAAATCAGCCACACACTTTTAGGATTTTGGAGCAAATCTATGCTCTCTTCTGTAGACATATTCTCCTTTGGAAAATATCCTTTAGTTCATCAGTGAGTCCTTGATCATGGACCACAGGTTATCATATAACTTGAACTTCCCATTATGAACTATATATTTTCTAGCCCTCTTATTCAGAAACTTGAGCATAGACAGTGGCTCTCCATCATCAAGTGAAGGTGAGGAACATAAGATTGAGCTTAAGGGAGTTCTGAAAGCACAAATTACAGAAGCAATTGGCTTGGATTCTCATGGTTTCCATTCTACTGAGTTTTCTCTTCTTTCTCAACGTACACCTCTGTGTTTATGCTGATTTTCCAGTTGAAGAAGGAAAAATTCATCCCAGATTACAGATGGTTCTGCCAATATGCTGGCACTGCCTAAAAGTGGGTGACTAAAGTAAAACAGGTCAAATCAGGGATGACCCTAAAGGTCATGGAAAATTTTCAATTATTTTTAGTAATGTTAAGAAATGATAGTATCTAGATTCAGTCTGCCTTTCAGAACTTAAGTCTACATATGAGTCACATGATACAGACAGAGTCAATATCCCTAAAGAAAAGTTAATAGTCATGCCTCTATTAAATTTGTGTCTCAAAAATGTCTCCTTTATATTCCTATGACTTTGGAATCCAATAAGATTCTCAATGCTTTTCTTTTCTCTGAAAAAAACAAAAAACATGTCTACATTCCAGTGCAGGTAAAAGATAATCAACTAAACAACTTTTTAAAAGAATGCCTAACATGTAGACAGGCAGGAATTAAACAAGCAAGAAAACAGCACTGTTTTTAAGAGAGCACAACAATAGGAAAACTACAGAGTAATATGTGACTGGTGGGAGTTTGTACAGAATAAATCACAGTTGACCCTTGAGCAACGCAGGTGTTAGGCGTGCCAACCCCTATGCAGTTGAAAATCTGAGTATAACTTCTGACTCCCAAAAAACTTCACTATCAATAACCTACTGTTGACCAAAAGCCTTACCAATAACAGAAACAGTTGATTAATACATGTTTATGTTACCTGTATGATAGGTTATAATAAAGTAGGCTAGAGAAAAGAAAATATTATTTAAAAATTAGGAAAATGAGATAATATATTTACTATTCACTAAGTGAAAGTGGATCATGATAAAGGTCTTCATCCTCATTGCCTTCATGTTGAGTAGCTAAGAAGCAGGAGGAGGAGGAGGGGTTGATCTTGCTGCCGAAGTGGCAGAGGTGAAAAAAATTCGCTTAATATAAGCTATCTGTGCAGTTCAAACCCCTAGTATTCAAGAGTTCACTGTATTTGCTACTGAGATTTATATAGATAACATCACAGCTGTGTTGATTAGGATTTAAATATGCATATAAGAAGAAGGGTATTATTAGCAAAGTGATCAGAAGAGGATGGCATTTGCCTCCTCCACGTGATGTCATGCAGGATAGTTACAAAGGTTAAATTCAGCATCAGTGTGAGCAAGGTCCTTGAACTCAGCATTTTTTTTTCCTTTAAAGCCTATCAACTGTTTGGCAGGCTCATGACGTACCGAGAAGTAAATCTCAAATTTATCAGGATGTGGAGTCTTTTTTTAAATCTAAAGATACAAGATTAATGAGATTTTTAAATACAGGATGGTCTATATGAGAATGTCAGGAGTGCCTGTGGTTTGTCACACCTCCGCTGAGACTGATAAAAGACTCTTAATATTTTAGTGTTCTTATGCTAAAATAGAAGGAAAAATTCGGCCCAGATTACAGATGGTTTTGCCATTATGCTGACACTGCCTAAAAGTGGATGGCTAAAGTAAAACAGATCAAATCAGGGCTGACCCTAAAGGCCAGTGATGAAGGAAAATTTTCACTAAAACGTATGCACTAAAACTTACTCTTGCCTCTTAGGCTAGAGACTTAAATACTGACCCAATAAGCTACTATGGCAACTACTGTGGAGCCTTGGGCTATGGCTGTGCCTGCAAATATAGTTATACCTCTGGCTTTGGTGCCTTTAGAATCCGGGACTGTGGCTGCAGATGTAGCTGCTGTGGTAGGGTACAGATTTGACTGTTGCCACCAATATGATAATAGTACATGCTTATTCTCTGGCATTGACTGAATATCTACAATTGGGTCCATTTTCTTATGAGATAGGGGTTCTGTTCTAGTACATTCTCTTTATTTGTTTACCCCAATTAGAATTGTTAATGATTCCCTATAATCCCAGCACTTTGGGAGGCAGAGGCCGGTGGATCACCTAAGGTTAAGAGTTCAAGATGAGCTTGGCCAACATGGCAAAACCCTGTCTCTACTAAAAATACAAAAATTAGCCAAGTGTGGTGGTGGGTGCCTATAGACACAGCTACTGGGGAGGCTAAGCAGGAGGATCACTTGAACCCAAGAGGCAGAGGTTGCAGTAAGCCGAGATTGCACCACTGTACTCCAGCCTGGGCAACAGAGTGAGATTCCATCTCAAAAATAAAAATAAAAAAAAGAATATTTAATAATTCAATCTAATTCTAGACAAGTAAGACACATTATTAAATTCACACTAAATCCACATCAATGTCCTAGATTAACTACATTTTTCTTTTCCAAACTGACGTATTTTCATAATTTACCAGGCAAATTACATTTTGGTATGCTTCATGAGTAGGAAGCTCTAGGTTTATTTTTAATTAAACTTACCCTTGCCTGTCCAATGCCATTTATTCTTTAAATTTATTAATTATTCACTTGTTTAATAAATATTTATTAAGGAATTTCTGTACAGGACTTCCTGTTAACTCTTAGTGTTACTTATGAGAAAAGAGGTTTTAAGCAGAAAATCAAATATGTAAATAAACATGTAAGCTACAACACAATAGGTGATATAATGGCCAAGCAGGAGCACAGAGGAGAAGCTAATGTTTGAATGCAAAAGTGGGAGATTGTTGAGCAAAGGGAGAGTCAAAAATATTCTCATGAAAGTTACGTTTGAATAGATTTTTAACCAATGAAAAACATATTAGAGGTCAAGTGTATGTCAGGCACAGGGAACAAATATGCAAAACCGTTAAAAAAGTATCAGATTGAAAAGTCATAAATTGACGTTATTTCTTGAGAGAAAAGTGGGCAAAGTCACTGGCAAGAAATGAAGTCCTCGGCAGTGAAGAGATACTGAGAACATCACGGCCATGTGTAGTTTGCGATCGGCGCATTGGATAATATTTTAGAAAGTTGTGATATTTTCCTTTACCTGAATGAGACTGGAGACTATTATTCTAAGTGAAATAACTCAGAAATGGAAAACTAAGCATCGGATGTTTTCACTGATATGTGGGAGCTTAGCTATGAGGATGCAAAGGCATACGAATGATACAGTGGACTTTGGGGATTTGGGGAGAAGAATGAGAGGAGCATGAGGGATAAAAGACTACAAATATGTTGCAGTGTATACTGCTTGGGTGATGGGTGCACAAAAACTTCACAGATCACCACTAAAGAACTTACTCATGTAACCAGACACCACCTGTACCCCAGTAACTTATGGAAAAATCAAATCAAATAAGAAATGCATGTTTTATACAAATAATTATGGCATTCAATTGAAGGAAAGATAGCCAATGAGTATGACCACAGACCTGAAGACCATCCTGGAGGCTGTGTAAGCAACCAATGCAAGGTCTTAATGTAAAAAACAGCAACTAAGATTCCTATAAGGGACTAGATCAAATAAATAACTAAGGAATAGAAGTTAAAGAACAGGCCCGTGTGCTGTGAGAATGGAGGGGGCTAAGCAATAAATCAGAGCACACAATAAACAATGAACAGGACAGTCAACGACTGATTGTGGAACTAATGGTACATGTGATATGGGAATCAGAACATTTGGGGGACAAACAAGTTAGAGCTGCAAAAGTTCACTTGAGTACACATAAATGTCATCTTTGGAGGGCCAAATAAAGTTTTTTACTGGCAGTTTGTTATAAAAATCTGCAACTCAGGAGAAAACTGAGCTTTAAATATGGAAAGTAATTGGACAAAGTTTGTCATTACTTCAGAAATACAGTGCATTAGTCTATTCTCACGCTGCTATGAAGAAATATCCGAGACTGGGTAATTTATAAAGGAAAGAGATTTAATTAACTCACAGTTGTACAGAGCTGGGGAGTCCTCCCGAAGATTACAATCATGGCAGAAGGGAAAGCAAACGCATCCTTCTTCACATGGCATCAAGAAGAATAATGAGCACGAGGGCAAAAATTCCCCTTATAAAACCTTATGAGAACTCACTCACAGTCAGAGCAGCAGTGTAATGGTAACCGTACCCATGATTCAAGTAACTCTTTCTGGGTCCTTCCCACACCACGTAAGGATTATGGGAACTACAATTCAAGATGAGATCTGGGGAGGGAAAACAGGGCCAGACCATATCATACAATATTCCAATAATTATAAATGAATGGAAAAAAAAAGTGTTTGCAAATCAGGGAAGGAACCGATAAAAGTTAAGGAAATGAAAAGGGAGTCATGGCAGGAAAATCAAGGGCCCACCAACTTCCTAGAAAGAGAAACTTCTTAACAACATTTTTCTTTTCAAATATGGAATCTTTCAAAAAGAATTTCTTGAATAATAACAAATTCTGACACTGAGCCAGAGGCTGACAATTATAGTCAATAAGATTGGCGTGTTCCCTGTCCTTTCAGAGTTTAACATCAAGAGGGGTTGGTAAAATATCACAAATGCGATCACGATAAAGCAACAGAGGCCTTAGTGGTTAGGTATGGGAGAGTCTTTCCAGTCCCTCATGTGTTAGGTTGGACCCTAAATGCCATTCACACGATTGCCATAGGAGCAGCCATTTTGAGTATGATCTTCATGCTCTGACAGGAGTTGATGGATCCCATTAGAGCCACCTGAACAAAATGAAGCAGAATATTCCCAGAATTTGCAAACAAAGGCCAATATATTTTCTGCCTGATGAAGCTCTAAGGTCTAACCCTTGTGATCTATTAGAATAGTAGCTATGTGCTTCTTCTTGTAGAATGCTCATTTGCAGTTTATTATAAGGTACCTGCTTATGTTTTCTGCTGAAGAATTCTACATATGTTCCACTCAGAGACAGATCACAGAAAATTTTTTTTAACTTTTGTCAACTGGCCTTGTCAGAGATACTCCATCAAGTCTAAAATATTCAGCATCCTAAAAAATAAACAGGTGAGTGAGCTTGAAAACCATCACTGCTCTCCAGACCTACACTTTGATCACAAATGCTGTCCTACATTTATTTATTTTGTACTTGTTTACCTCAGAGCTACCAACTCTCAAGCCAGTTTGTTTTGTATGAAAGTGGATAGAACACTGTTATAATTGAGTTATTATGCAATATCCAGAAACTATACTGAGTAAATTGTGGCAGGAAGCTTAAAATTTTCTGATAGTTTAGAAATATAGCACCCTGAGATGTCAGAGGGGACATTTTCACTAAAGCTGTGGCAGTGATAACAGGTTGAGAAAAGTCTGTAAAGGAAATCACATTAATATGTGACAGCATAGAGCAAAATTTCTGGTTCGGTAGCAAAAGGCAATTGCAAAAATTACACCTTAACAAAGTTGAAAGGAAAAATATTGACAGAGGAAAACCCAGAACACTGAGTTCTTCCAGTCCCTTTTAAGAGCCTTAAAAACCCTAAACACCTGTGGAATTGAATCATGTTTGGCTCCTAAGCAGAGAGATTTTACTCCAATTCCCTGTATGGACCAAAGAGGTCAGTAGATCTACAGCTCCAAAAAGAACAACGGCTCAAAACTTAAAACATTAAATAAAATATTTATTTATATCTATTTGTGAAATATATTCATATATGTGTATATTGGGAGAAAGAAATACACTAGATAACTAAGTATCCAGTCCTCTGAATGGGATAGGGGTAGAAAGATGATGTGTAGGGTTGGGTGGATGGGTGGAGATGAGAGAGGGAAAATTGGTAAGCAAAAGTTAAGAAATTTAAGAAGACAAACATCACTGAAAAAATTTCCAGAATAATGAATGTATCATGTATATGTTTACATTTATGTATGTGATGTATAATACACATGGAGACTGCACCTATTGACTTACAGCACATCCAAAATACATACCACGATAAAAAAGGCAAGGGCCTCTTATGTGTAATGTAATTCCTTTTTGTCTGAAACAACAAACTCCAAACCCCAATGTGTATATATCCATGGGTGGAGATAAAAATGCATACATATGTATGAGGAAGTAGAAAGTAACAGAAGATCATTTGGGCCAGGCATGGTGGCTCACACCTGTAATCCCAGCACTTTGGGAGGCTGAGGCAGGCGGATCACAAAATCAGGAGTTCAAGACAACCCTGAACCTCACAGTGAAATCCCGTCTCTACTAAAAGTACAAAAATTAGCCAGTGTGGTGGCGCATGCCTGTAATCCCAGCTACTCAGGAGGCTGAGGCAGGAAAATCATTTGAACCCAGGAAGTGGAGGTTGCAGTGAGCCAAGATTGCGCCACTGCACTCTAGCCTGGATGACAGACTCCATCTCAAACAAATAAAAAATATTTAAAAAAAATAAAGTAATAGAAGGTCATTTGGGTCATTTGAAGGGAATGGCTGTGGGCAGCCACATGAGACATAACTAACATCATCTTATGCATATTTGTATTGCTTAACTTTTAATTACAGATGTATATTATTTTCTGAATAAAGAAAATATCAAATGAATGAAAAATTTGAAAACTAAAGGGATGCTTTAGATAATGGAAAACTGAAACATGAACCTATGGAATTGGCGAAAGCTCTAGAGAGCATAACTTTATTTAACTTCTGCTTCATCTACAATGTATTTGTTAATTTTTACTGTAAAAATATTTAATATTTGTTTAGAAACAGTTGACACTTTATCTTTAATACTTATTATGTTTGGTATACCTTTTTGACATAACCTCACATCTCTCCAAACAACAAGTAGCAGATGATAGTCATAAAATCCAAACAAATGAGGTAATGTAAAATGTAATGACAGCGTAAGCATAATTTTTTCACAAGCATACCAGATCTTATTCCCAAGAGAGATTTCTTGCCTTTGTTAGCACCTACTTCCACCATGCCATATTGACATATAATGAGGACCAATATTATTTTAGGAAACATAACACAATAATTTGC